AGACACTGCCACATGCATACATATTTGCACTAAAATACATACACACTTACCCACACAGATACACACACAAACTGACATATACACAAAGACACACACACACATAGATACATACACACATATGAATCACATATTTTATATTTTTTGCCACCCTCCTGTTATTAAAACTCTGACACATACACATATCTTGACATACAGATACACACAGTGACCTATACACACTGACACAAAGATACACACACATATAGATACATACAAACATATATGTCAAAATTATTATATTTCTAGCCACCTTCTTGTTAACATATCTTTTATGTGCAGCAGGAATGGCTTGCCTGGAGCCCTCTTCGGATGAGAATGTGGGTCTGGAGCTAAAGGGGCCAGGTCACACTGTTAAAGGGCCATGGCTCCTGACCAGGCCCCTATTCAGCATTATTATTATTATTATTATGTCATTTATATAGCACCATCAAATTCCGCAGCACTTTACAATCAGTGGACGAACAGACATGTAGTTGTAACCAGACAAGTTGGACACACAGGAACAGAGGAGTTAAGGGCCCTGCTCAATGAGCTTACATGCTAGAGGGAGTGGGGTAAAATGACAGAAAAAAGGTAAGGATAGTATTAGAAGATAGACGTAAGTCTTCAGCGAATCGTAAGGGCCTAGACGGGACATACTTGTGTATAAGGGAGGATAGATAGGTGGGAGCAGCATTATGTAGCAAATTGAAAGCAAGAACCAGAATCTTAAATTGAGCTCTATATTTTATAGGAAGCAAATATAGGGACTGACAGAAGTGTGAGGCATGGGAGGTGCGGGCGGACAGGAAGATGAGCCTCGCTGCCGCATTCATTATGGACTGTAACGGCGCAAGTTGGGAGCACGTAAGACCACTGAGAAGCGGATTACAGTAGTCAAGGCGAGAAAGGAGAGTGTAATGGACCAACACCTTAGTCGCATCTGGCGTTAAGTAGTGGCGGATGCACGCAATGTTTTTGAGATGGAAATGACAGTA